AGTAAATATTTTCGTTAATACAAAATACACACTCAATTAATTTATATCACATTGAATTACATTCGATCTGACACTAAAATCAATAATTCCTACTATTTTTTTTAATTATCTATCTGATGAAATTTCTACTCAAATTCGCTATACGTGCAAATCGTATTGCAGTTCATATCGAGCTGCTCGTGTTCGCCATACTGCGAATCGTGTTCACCATACTGTGAATCGTGTTCGTCATACTGCGAATCGTGGTCGCCTAACGACGAATCGTGGTCGCCTAACGGCGAATCGTGGTCGCCTAACGGCGAATCGTGGTCGTCTAACGGCGAATCGTGGTCGCCTGACGGCGAAAGATACACACATGCTTTTAGAAGTTGCAATGTCGATTTGATGATGTAAGAACAAGAAAGAGTAAGATCCTAAAAAAATAAACAGATATAATAAAGAATCCATTAGTTGAAAAAAAATATGACTTGCTTCTTGATTATAATAATGTTTTATTAGTTTCAATATCAACAGTATTTATCGATAGAACGGTTGAACAAACATAGATACTATAATAATAAAAATATATTTTTTTTATAGAAAAAAAAGTTTTGATCTTCTGATGTATTACCAAAAATAAGTGCTTACTATTTGAATAATTGCTTTCGCTCTGAGTGATTCATATAAACTGATACGACACCAGTACTACGTATATGTCTAACGTTGAAACTATCAAACAACGTTTAGATAATATAACTACTCTACGATTAGTTTCATTTCATATTCTCTTCGAAAACAACTGTTTAAGAACAACAGACATTCATAATGACGCTTTTTTTTATGTTAAAATATGATTGTACTCTTTGTCCTTGTTAAATCGTTACATCTCTTATATGAGAAAACGGATGAATGACCGTCATGTACTTAATTTTTAGCTCTTCACTACAAGTCTTACCATGTTTCTAGTTACAATTAATCAAACTCTATCCCGAGAAATACATATTATTCAATTAAATCTATTGATAATAAATCTCCGAAAAATTGTAGTGAAACTGCTTACCAGCTTGTTCGAAAATATTTTTAACAATCTAAAGAACTTTTTTTCATATTGCAAAGTTGATCTTGATCACTCATATCTTGTTTCGAAATGCAATCAATATAATTAAACAGAAATATCAGTTGCAAGAATTGATACTTTAATAAAAATACATTATGTTTAACGTACTACTTCTGATTCATTGAGTAACACCATACTTGTTCTTATATTCTTTGATCGAAAAAAAAATGAATAGTAACTTAAATCATTAATCATTGATGAGATAAACAATTGTAACATAAACGAATCGGTTTAATGAATTTCTTCAATTTATTATTAGTTGGATAATTCACTTCCAAGTTCTTTTTCTTTAATATATGGAAAAAAAATGTAAATGTGATCAGGTCTGATGAAAGAAGAAGAGTAGAACGCGTATTGAATGATAACACTTTAAGACAGGGAATGAGAACGAACATGATACAAGAAATGATTTATGACATGAGCTAATCGAGAAAGCGAAGAAAGATAACAAAACACGAATGCATCAGAACAGAAAGAAAAAAAAATAATGCACAAAAATGAAAGAGAGAATAATGATTGAGTGAAGTTGTCAGTGGAAGAGGTCAAGAATAGTTGCTTTTTCGAACGAAGTAAAAAAATTCCACTATTTCAAATCGATAGATGGATGGTCTCTATTACTTTAACCAATTTGTTCCATACACGTTCAGCACAACAGACTTGTCAAAAATGTTTGAATTACATATACATATATACACACAGAGATTGTTCATGTTGTTTCAGGCTGTAATCAACTAGAGATGTTCTCATAATAAATAAATAAACTATCAAATTATTGTCATTTATAGTGTTCACAACCGAAAACTGTAGTCACAGTTTCATTATCCATGCGTTTTTTTATGTTAACCACAATTTTTACAACACCATTCTTGAATATTTTTATTGAGCAAAGGATTCTATATGACTATAGCCACAATACAAATTATCTTTTATTGCATATACAAAGACGCACGATAAAGAAAATAATTCTCTATTTGGATCCTAATACTAAAAGGCTATCAGTTATTATTCATCGTTATTTTGATTTCAACCGATTTTCACATCGATGATATTGTTAGTGGTTTGTTCTGCAATAAAAACATGAAAATTCATAGAAATTTACTTTATGAATTTTTTTCACTTTTTTAGTTAATTTTTGCCGTATATCACTACTTTAAATTTTAAGAATGTTTTATTTCAGCGAACGAGTATTAAATTTGTCTAATACATGCTAGATGATTGAACTAAGTTTTTATCATATACTTTCCTATTATGTTCGAGTGTTATTTTTCTTAAAAAGGATTAAAAGCAGGACAGAATGATACGCTAATTATTAAACTTTTATCAAACAATGTCTAAAAAGTATTACCAGAAAAAGATTTATTAGATTTCATTTCTATTTGATGTCAAGATAATGATACAATACCGAAATTAGTTGAAACCAATATAAAGATTTAAACCGAGTTAAGAAGTTCGTCCACACATCTAATTCAATTTATTATTTCTTTTTCTGCTAGTTGCTATTTTGTTTTGAAAATTAGGTCTCTCTATATTTTAAGTATGTCCATATCGAATAGACGACTATTGCAACATAATTGTCCAATATATTTCGTATACATTTTACTAATAAAAGCTTTGTATGATATTCGTTATTCAACGCAGTGACCACGATGTTTAATCTATATTTGAAATAAATATCTTATTGCAAGCCATATTTTCAAGAGCTCCGTTAACAAGTACTTGATCAAGACTTAATATTCAGTCTCACTCCTTTATAAAGTGTCCCTATATTCTGTTCTCACAGAAAAACTGGTCTTACTTATAATACATACGAAAATATTTCTCCTCTTTTATCATTTTAAGTCCTTACTGAAACCTATCAGATCTAAACCGTTAACATTTTCCCGTGGAATTCTTATAATGTAACACCCTTCATAAGGTAACTTTCCAGCGCACCAGCTAGTTGCTTGTCGACATCCATTCGGGGCGCTACTCGTAGCTAGCTACTGCCTCCTGTGATATTGTTCACCATTAGATAATTCTGTTCACTCAAACCCTGTCAAATGCTAGGCTGCTCTTACTTAAAAAAAGCTTTTGCATTTATAACGCGATGGCACCAAATAAGTTGCTTCGAATCAATACTTTCCTAGTATTTATTCCTCATTTCTTCAACATAATTGTTTAGCCAATACGTTAGAGTTGTATTACGGCTACTGATTTGGAGGATCTTAGTTGGTCATTCTTGATTAATGTAGGTTTCACGTAGATCTTTTTTTAAACGACAGTAGAATACGTTTGCGATTTTAGTGATCAGTGGCTCACCAGCACTTCTCTTAGGGCTTGCCGATAGTCCCTTGCTGCATTATTGGAATACATTAAAACAATCATTGGTTATTTTACATGTATTCCACAAGCTGGAACTTCACTTACAAGATTTTTTTTATGCTACTTTTCTCGACTTAAGAAGAGTGCACCCAAAAAAGCCATTTAACTCAGAAACCACTATGAATAAAGAGGGATCCCTCAATGTCGCTCAAATTAGACTGACTGCTGGAGGTGTGTAAACAGTATCTCATCACATTACAACTTACTAAAACACTCATCCCATTAGGTCATGCTCCGATCCGTGTCTACAACGCTAATCTGAAGAGACTATCGCAACTAGATAGCAAAAGCAGGCTCCAGATATGCAGAACGATTTTCCATATTCCGAATTTTCCTTTTTTCCAAATGCCTTTTTCTCAAAAAAATCTGCTTTTGCCTTAGACAACAGTTCAGAGAGTAAAGGCATGATCTTTTCATGGAAACAAATATTTGATTTTCTCAATAGCTGACATCAGGTTCGGATTCCTCGACCCAGATTTACTTTCGTCAACCTTTATAAAATATCGTTATTTTCTCAAAAAACCCTTTCCTTGACCCTTAAAACTCATTTCAAAATTTTGAGAATCTGACTTCAGATTTGGATTCCTCGACCTCGATTTACTTTCGTCAACCTTTATAGAAGAGAACTTAAAATAGATGTTCTTTTGACCTTGTGACAAGCAACAAGCAAACTATTTTTTTTTCATATGACCCTCCTTTCAGTCGAGGGAATAATAATATGATAATTGATCATCCATCTGATGAACATATTCAACAAAGTTTCATTGAAAAAGGTTATGGTCAAGTTGGTTCATATGTTCATAATAGAATAGAGGACGATATAGGCATTTCGTATGTCTATTCACGTTCATATGAATTCGAATATGTTCTTCGCCTTAACAGCTTTGTTCAAGGTGGTATGTTTGATAAAGTTCAATACTTGTTAATGATTGATGAGCACCCTTTTGAACATAATTTATTCAAATTTATCTCTCAAGGATGTGGGTGTGGATATGAATGAAGGGAACATTCACACTTTCACAACATCTACATCAACGCCCGCACCCGCCAACACACCTCCACACCCAATGTAAGTATATTATGCGTCAGATTTTTTAGATAAAGTTTTCCTTAATGTTTAAAAAGTGTATTTTAAGTTTCAGAATAGTTCACTTATGATCATTGTAAGTTGTTTTGAGGAAGCATTTTATAATAAGCTCCACGTCGTTGTATCAATTCAGTATGAGTACCACTCTCCACTATATGTCCTCTATCAACTACGCAAATCAAAACACACGAACGAATAGTTGAAAGACGATGAGCAATAATGAGTGATGTTCGACTAGAATCTTCTCTGTGAGCTTGATCAAGAGTTTCTTGTACCATCTATAATTGAAAAATGAAGAGGAATCTTTTATTAATAAATAGAAACAAACAAACAAGTTTACTTGTTCATTGTGTGAATCCATAGCACTCGTAGCTTCATCTAAGAGCAATACTTTAGGTCGACGAACAAGAACTCGAGCAATAGCAATACGCTGTTTCTCACCACCCGACAGGAAACTGCCTTTCAACCCTACTCTTGTTTCGTAACCCTAGAAAAAAGATCATACAATAGTATTAGATACATTATAAAATATTTATTGATCAACCTGAGGTAGTTGCTGAATAAACTGATGAATGTTAGCTGCACGAGCCGCATTAACAATGTCTTCCATTGGAACATTTTCTAAGCCATATGTTATATTTTCAGCTATTGTTAAATCGAACAAGATTGGTTCTTGGCTCACAAGGCCAATCTGTGAACGAACCCAATGAAGGTTTAGTTGTCGAATATCAATACCATCAAGAAGCTAGATTGAATAGACAAATTTTGATATAATTACTTAAACTATAAGTAAAAGATATACTAACTAGTCGGCCACTTGTAACATCATAGAATCGTTCTAAAAGTTGAATAATTGTCGATTTTCCACATCCGGATGTACCTACATACATCATATTACGCAAATAAAATTTGAAAGAAATATTTCATTCAAACATACCAACAAGAGCCACACGTTGACCTTATCGGTGAATACAAATTTAAAAAAAAATGATTAAATAAAAGTTCTTCTGACCTACTTGGCTTGATATTCAGCTGAAACTTTTCAAGAATAATCGATGTTGGTCGAACTGGATAGATGAATTTGACTTGATCAAACTCTATCTCACCACGAAAATTAACCTACACAAACCATGGTATATCCATCGCATATTTATGACTCAAAGAAAATTGTGATCTTGTAGATTCGCTTACCAATTCTTGCCCTTCAGTAGATGTATTGTCGATAACTGGTTTTCGATCAAATAAATCAAAAAATGTTTGAGCACCTGAGACTGATGCGGCGATACGCTTAGATCTACAATGTAGGCAGCAGAAGAAGAAAAAGCAAAGTAGAGATTTAGAATGTTACATCATTCCGATCAATTTTAGTGCCCGTAACGAAAGAATAACAAAAGCAAAAATCCTAATAAATTGAAAAGGTAATACAGCATTATCACTAAACTATCAAACTTTTGTTTCAATTACATTATAACACGGTTCGAGGTAAGTTTCTTCTTTTCCACAAGGATAAGAGCACGCCAATACACAAACGCCATAGTATATGATTCTGTTATCCAGTATAAACCATATGCAATTGAATGTAGTATTACAGGTTTCCAAGACGACCTATGACAAAACAAAATCAATTAAAAAAGCATGCACTTATAGAATCTGGCTAACTAACCTAAATACTTGATGAATAAGTTTGGAGTATAGTGTTAAAACTTCCCTTTCTATTGACAATTGTTTTATTGTACGCATATTGTGAATAATTTCAGTAGCAAACTGCACAAATAAAAGACAAAATGAATGTAGCGTATTTGATTTAAAAAAAACAAATAATACAATAATTTTTTCGTACAAAGCAAAGGTTATCAGCTATAGCTTGATCTTACCGAGCTTGCACGTCCGATAATTTGATCTGATTTTTTATTCAGTCGTACTTGTAAGGACAAATCTGCATACGAAATTAGGGATAGGATAAAAAAAGGACAAAAAGCAATCAATGCCAATTGCCAACTAATGAAACATCCAAATAGAATTCCAAAAAACGGCAGCGCAATAGCTGTACAGATTGCTCCTAATCGTGTACCAGTCATATCTTGGATGGCTGATGCATTAGAAGAAAGACGAACACAAATCGCACCAGAACTATTTTCAGGTCGATCAAAATACGCAACTTCTTGGCGAAGTAGGGATGAGAAGGCTTTCGAACGAATGCGTTGCGTCAGTTTTGATCCTGATACGGCAAAAGCTGTATACTATAGAAAAGATTGAATGAATCATTAACGAAATTCAGAAGCAGCATTTTTACCTGAAATAAGCGAAGTATCATTACGACAACACCCAAAAGGAAAAATTGAAGACTGGCAATCAATACTTGATGACGTCGTTCAGATGTTGAACAGTATTTGAATCTCTACATAGCAAACAAATTGAAATTAGGTGATATCTATTGTCAATCTTTTCGCACGATGTTTTATAGGTGTATTACTCACATCGACTATTTTAGCAAGTAGAAATGCAAACAATGTTTGAGCTGCACCAAAAAGTCCACATGCTATACATCCAATCACTATAGTCATCCACTCAGGACTATTCATTGATAAAAGTCTTAAAAAGACGAATCTTCTTGTCAATGGCTTGGAACTTTGCTAAAAGAGAGATTATCCATAGTAATTTTTATAAACGATTGAAGTAGTATTTGTACTTCCTCTATTTTAACAATTTCACTATTTTCAAATAAACGAGAGCGTTCAACTGTTGAAGAAAAGGGATGAAGAAAAGTCAAGACTTATTATTTTAATATTAACATACATATCGACTTTTCATCTTCTTCTGTTGCTTTTTGTATATTCATCATATCATTTTTGTCATCATCAATTTTTTCTGTTTGTTGACGTTTAATCATTGCTTGATATTTTCCTCCTTCTTTTGCCATTAATCTTTCATGTGTACCATGCTCGATTACAGTTCCATTATCTGATACATATATTTGATGAGCCTTATGAATTGTAGTCAAACGATGAGCAATAATAATAGTTGTACGGCCTACGCGAAATATTATATATCAATATGATATGCACAAAATAATGATTATTACCTTTGCATGCTTGATCAAGCGCTTCTTGAACAATTTTTTCGCTAACATTATCAAGCGCACTTGTTGCTTCATCCAGTAAAAGGATAATTGGTTGCTTGACAAGAGCACGAGCCAATGCAATACGTTGTTTTTCACCACCACTCAACTGTATACCACGTTCACCAACAAGTGTTTCATATTTCTGAACAAGAAATAATAATCCATATATATATATATGTATATATGTGGCACAAACATTTGGTAATTGCATGATGAAATTATGTGCATTTGCTTCTCGTGCTGCATTTTCAATTTCTGCTTGTGTTGCATTTACTTTACCAAAACGAATATTTTCATAAATACTCATACTAAACAGAATCTATTACAAAACAAAATCAAATAGAAAGAGGGAAAAGAAGAAGAAAACAAAATCATACAGGTTCTTGACTAACAACTCCAATGTTTTGTCGCAGCTGTTTGACATTGTAATCTGTTATTGGTCGATCATCGATCGTTATTCGACCCAAGGAGGGTTCATAATAACGAAGTAACAGTGATATACATGTACTTTTTCCTATGAATAAATTATGAATACGAAGAAAATCATTTTTAATATTTTTGTTTTTGAAAAGACTTACCACAGCCACTTGAACCTACAAGAGCAGTCGTCTGACCAGCATGAGCAATAAAAGAGAGATTATGCAGAACTGATATTTCTTTTCGAAATGGATAAGTAAAGTTGACATTGTCAAATTCAATATCACCATTGATATTATAAATCGATTCTGTATCCTCTTTCCATATATCTGTTTCATTGAAGCTAGCTTCATTTCCCTATACCATGTAAACAATTAAAAATTATTGCTATTGATATGAAATCTCAATTTACTAGGATTTACCTCGTCAATAAGTTGAAACACTACTACTGCTGCGCCTCGAGCTTCTGAAAGTGCTTGAAAGAAAATAGCAAAATCACTGTAGAAACTGAAACATCGTGCAAAGCTGCAGACGACCTGCATCAAAATAGTAGTGGTATCATATTCATTTCCTTATTGACTGATGATATGAATTACTTACGACAAGAACATCACTAATATTCGAACTGCGATAATCGTTATGCGACATAAGAAGAGAACCAAAGATAAAACCAACTGCATAAACTACGTGATTATTTAGAGATGTCCAACCGATATAAAGTCCATATACGAGATCTTTACGTATGCTACTCCAACGAGTGGATTCCAACTCTCTTTCATATCTAAATGCAATAAAAATAACAACATGCTTTATGATGTCATGTGAGTAATCTCTTTTAATATGTATCTCTACCGTTTTTGTTCAAATTTGCTGCCATTATGAGAAAGAACAGTTCGTAATGAACTAAATACTTCTTGAACGATTTGCCCTGCTTTCGAGTATGTCATTAACTCCTTCATTGCTTCATTAGCAGTCAGCTGTAAAAATTCATACAGATTTAATTCTTTGAAAAAGACTTCATACCTTAGAAAAGACATGTGAGCTAATAATGAACAGAAGCATCAAACATAGCATGATCAAAGTCAATATCCAGTTGATTATGAAAGATGTTATTAAACAACCAATGGTCATGAATAATGTTACCAACAGAGTCAAGAATTCAAAACCAATGCCTTTCTCGATCTTTGCAATGTTACTTTACAAGAATTGAATAAGATGGAGTCATTGGCTATAAAATATAATAATGGCTTACTCAAACAGTTTAGCATGGAGTTGACCAGTCGGTTTGGTATCCATATAAGAAATGTTCTAAATATAAAGACAGAAATAGCCAAAAATGGATGAATTCGACTGACGATGGAACCATCCGAGATGTCAAAAAGCTTTTCAGTCGGGGATATGATGGTTAGATAGGGCATAGCTAGGAGTGATATACCCTAAATTAGTTCGGGCCCAAGTTGCTTCTAGCAGGAGTTATGAAATGTGAAATTTAGGTATAAAAATGAATCAGGGAAGGTTTTCTCCACTATTGTAAGGACAAAACATAGTGTTATTCGGGCCGANATTTTAGCTGAGTGTTCAGAATTACCCCACTATAAGATGTGTGTGTTCATAATTGCCCCATACGGGGCTATTCTGAACAAAACGATGGTGCTTCTAGCAAAATAGGTGCCGAACGACTTTCGCAAAGTACTTTTTGAAGATTTTTAGATAGGTATGTAGAGAAAACTTCAAGCTACATGTCAGTATTTTTTTTTCTTCAAAAATAACAAAAAATAACAAAGTTATTAAAACTTTTATTAAAGTTTCTAAAAAAGCGTTGAGAATAGCCCCACTCTACTCTATAGCATCTTACTGAATTCGTTCATCTTTTGTTTCAAAATGATCGTTGAGATTGATGGTTGTTTGTCTTGTATTGATGATGTTGTTCTAAAATTCAAAAAAAAATTTCATATTATATTTTCCTCAAAAACAAAGTTCTTACTTTGGCTTCGACAAAGACGTTATTTTCTCTTTTTTTCGTGTTAATTTCATTTTCAATATTTTTGAACAACCATATACGTGTGTATTTATTTTCAGTAGCTTGTACTGGTTTAGGCTTGCCCTTAAAAATTATTAAAATAGAACTAGATATATAAATATATAAGTCTATTAGTTTTTCTCCCTGATGCAACATCAGATGATTCTTTGAAACCATTATTTTCTAAATAATGGTATAAATATCGATTAAATTCTTTAAATTTTTTATGATCTTCTTCATCGGTATTCATTTTTATATCTAAAATGTTAAATATAATAAAAAAAAATTTTTTTTATGAATATAAATTAAACGAGTTGGTTAGAAATCATCGGATTTTCCCTACTCTGGAAACATCTAAAATGGAAGTATCTTTTTAGTACATAACTATCCTGATATGAGGCTTGTAAGATCTCGTCCCTTTTAGAAATTAAATTGTGTTTCTTTCGTTTACTTTGTAATCGTTTTAGTATATTGTAAAATTAAAAAATCTTTGTTAAATGAAATAGAAAGAGACATGCCTGACTAAATAAAAGATAAAAACAGAGAAAGAAAAAGAAAAATATGATTAGAATTATTGGTTTGTCTCTTGCGTCATCATACAAAATACTGAAACGAAAAGATTTATTTCTTTTAATAGACATTGAGCGATATCTATTGAATTAAATAGAGATTTGTTTGAATTATATATATAGTTAATTAATCGATCGTAATTATTAAAATCAAATCAATCAGAATATAGTTTTTCTTATATGCAAAATATTTTTGTATAGAAAAAATCTTTTTTTTTTTAATTATTATTTTTTGTTTTCAATAAACAATTCATAAGCTGAATATCATCTAAAATAAATATGTTTTTTCAAACGAAAAAAAGCAAAATTCATTTTGGTAAAACTTGCTTTGAATACAATAAATTAATATGTTTTATTTTATATATTATGGAATGTATCAGCGATACATTCAATAATGAAGTGTTGCCTAACATGTAACTATTAGGAATTGCAGTACTATCTATATTTCATAAGAAATTATTTATTCGAGTAGTTATTATTAATCATAGAATTATACTTGGAGATTTTCACATTTTTTTCTTGATAGTCTCTTGAAAATGTATCGAATTAGAATTCAAACATATTATAACCAAAATAATTGAATAAACACTTATTCTCTTTTCTTTTCAATAACAATTAAATTAACGTCAATGAGAAACACAAAATTTGACTTTATGTTAAAGCATCTACTCGAAAACTTTGAGATTCATTTTTCCAAATGGGTAGAGAAATATTTTTTCACTAACTTTATTTAAGTATCAACTGAATCTTTCAAATATTCCTATACACACTATAAAATAAATAAATGGAAGAAATATAAATTTTTATTTTATGACATATTAGAAAAAGGAGAAAAATAAATAACAAGATTTATTCGCTAACAATTTGTTGGACTATAGAACAATTCATTATTGTTTATATTGACGACGACATCGGTCAAATAGAATAGATGAGTATATATATGCATATAAATATTGATATTCATAAATTGAAAAGAAGAATAGATCAATAAAAATAAACATGTTCAATTCATGTATTGAATTAAATAATTTACCTGATGAAATCCTTATGATTATTTTTCAAAAATTGAACAATATTGACGTACTTTATTCTTTTCATGATGTCAATCAGCGACTAAATAAAATAATTCATGATCGAATTTTTACAAGTCATTTAACTTTTGTCAAATGGTCATTAGATAATTTTATCGATCTATTTTCTTCTGATATAATGCTTAATCGATTTTGTTTACAAATTTTACCTTCAATTCATGATAAAATTCAGCGGATTGATCTTGATTTATCATCTATAAAACATGTTTTACGTGTTGCCAATTATCCTAACTTAGATAGTCTTGGTCTTTATAATCTTGATGAAGAGTCAACTCAATGTCTTTTTAATGGTAAGAAATTTTTATTTGAATTCTTTTTATTCTGAAACAAATGAAAGATTTATCAAAAGACAATATCATTGATTATATATGTTTAGATGAAACTCTTTCGAGTATTTTCAAAAATCAGATAACAACACTTTTTATTACAATATATAATAATAATGATGATGATAATCATAAACGGATGACACGGTCAGTGGCAAATGTATGTGATAAAATCTTCACTGTTTTCACTTGTCTGACTACTTTTGTATTATATGAATCATCGTATAAAAATCTTGTTCGATTAATTTTTGATAATCCATTTTTTCCTAATATTCGTTCTTCAACTCTTTTGAAATTAATTATCAACGTACATTCTTTTGATGATTGTCTTTATCTTCTCGATGGTCGTTTTGATCAACTTCATACGCTCCGTGTCGATTTGGCTAATAGTTGGTGTCCAGATGAAATTATAAATCAAGTTAGTGTTTACAAGAAAAAAATTCAATGTTGTCAAACAATAAAACATTTTACTTTTTAGGGCAATTTACCAAATCTAAAGTGTTTTTCTCTTTCCTGTGAACTCGCAACATATCATTATAATGAAGCCATTCTTCCACTTCTCTATCGAATGTCAAATCTAGAAGAACTCGGTTTATCTCTTACGGTATATGTTAAAGATAGATTTATTGATGGAAATCATTTAAAGACAAAAATTATTAAACAAATGCCACGATTAAATCAATTTACATTTTTTATTAGATCATTCATCAATATCTATAATGAAATGAGTTTTCCATCAACAGAAGATATTCAACAAACATTCATTGACTTTCCATTTAATAAAATTTCTTATGTTAATTATTTTGCAGATGGAAAACAAAGTCAATGTTATATTTATTCATATCCATTTCAAATGCGATATTATACCTGCATTACAAATAATTTTCCAGATGAATTATTTGAACATGTTCGTGTGGTGTCATTATTTGATGAACAACCTTTTGAACATGAATTTTTTCTTCGAATTCAGAAATCATTTCCATTTATAGAAGAATTATCTTTAGTTAATCGTAAACCACAAAACCGAAAACAATCTTATGAATCAAACAGTAATAATCAAACTTTACCGCTTATTGAATTTTTTTTTCTTAAGAACCTTTTTATTAGCGATGTTCATGATGATTATATAGAACAATATCTTTTTCATACTAAAACATATTTCCAAAATAATATTATTGTTTATGTTGATTATGAATCTTTACAACGAGTAACACACAATTTTACAAGAGATTCTACTCGAACTAATTGTGCCAAAATAAGTCAATTACATTTATGGGGTCAAGTAAAACGTTCCAATTCTTTAGAAGAATATTTTCCTTATGCAAAAATATGTTATCAATTATAGTGAAAGACAAAAAAAAAGTAAAGTATTAAATAAAACAAAAAACAAAATAAAATAAGAGAAAAATGTTTTTTTTTGTTGTAAAAATATAAAATTTCTATAAAGATGAAAATAATCATGTGTGATAAATAGAAATCTGAGAAATAAATTAATTTTGTTTAAACATATGTATTATGTATTGCGTTAAAATATAAGTTCTGTAAATTTTTGTGCAGCATCAAAGATAACTATAACTTATAGGTCAATTTTTAACCAGATAATGGGATATACGTAGGTTTGTAGAGGAAGACTTTCTCTATCCAATGATATTTGTATATGTTATCAAATTCTGTTGTGTACTGTGAAAGAAAATTAAATTGAAAAATGAGAGATTTTATGCGAGTTTTCTATATAAAAATTAAAATCAAGCACAGTCAAGCTAAAAATCTCTACGCAACAGGGTTTGATAATATTGGATCGAGGAAGTCTTCCTTTATGAACCTACATTTATTCGCTTATCTGGTTAAAAGGTTATAATCGCCTTTATTTTACGACAAAGATATGTAATATAAATCAAGAATATATTCAGAATTATTTTCGACAGCATTCACTCATCTTACTGGTAATTGTTCAATCTCATGTTTTTATCGAGAATTTCAAGTATATTACAACCAAAATAATTAATGACTTTTAATGTGATTTGTTGTAATTAATCGAGTGTGACTTGCCATTCTTAGTTGTATTTTCCCAATTCCTAGCAACAACTAATGACTTAATTGTTGGATACGAGGTCTATTCCGATGGAATCAATCATAATAAATAAATCCTTCAAATATAATTATCATCTATACCAATCAAAATCTGTGTTTGAAGCATCGTAATATTATGTTCATTATTTGTTGAATATGATGCCAAGATGTAATGAAATGTGTGATTTTCACATTCTTATTCATGCTCAATGTGACAAAGTATCTATACTGAAGGTAACATGTAAACTATCTTTTTCCATTGAATCATTTTCGAAAAAACTAGCTATTGTTAGAATTTAATATAGAGAAACAATACTTCCACGAGGAAGCTGCGGCTCCTTCCAGATCCGGCCGGGTTCGGGTCCATAATTTTATTTTTTCCGGGTTCGAATCCAACGTTTTATTTTTTTTGTCAGGCCCTGTTCAACGTTTTTATGAATCCACTGCTCCCCAGATGAGAAATACAGCGACAACATATAATTGTACGCTGAAGTTTTTTTTTCAGAGAGTGATAAATAAATCGCTAAAATCGTGATCTTTTACTTATTCATGTACACGAAGGGTGGCAGGTATGTGATGGGAAAAACTTCAGATTTGAGCTCGATCGGGTCCGGGCTCAAATTTTAAACTTTTTTCGGGCTCGGATCCACAAAAACGCGGACCCGCAGCTTCCTAAATCCCACCATATTTATGACGATTATTTTCACACTGGATAGAAACTGTTCAACTTCAAACATGAAAAACTATTGTTCTCTCGCCAAAATTACCTTAATTAATAGTGAAATCATATCGAGAACTGTCACATAACATATCATGTTCGCATGAGAAAATAATTATTTAGACAATAGATAATATATGCAAAGGAAATATATAAATTTGAATATTTTATAATTATCAATTTTATGTTGAATAAGTTTTTCATCGTGTTCAATACAATCAGGTTTATTGTGTCAATATATACTTACTCATTTATGATAAACAACATTACAAGAAGAAACAAAATGAATGACGATGTATTTTCTTTTTGTTAGTACTTTTACTTTTATCATTTCATACATTTAGAAATAAGAAATCGATTAGTCTTATCTTCTATATTTAACTTTCTTAAGAAGATTAATTACATGAGTTCTAGATGATATGATACACAATATTATTAAAAGATTCTCAATATTGTAAGATTTTTAACGGAAAAATCCTAAAGACTTTTACTGCTTGTAGAAAATTTCTTCAAATTATTTTGATCTATAAGAACTACTTTCATTGTTTGACCTATTAATACTTTCTATGTAACTAACCGTAACGACTCAGCCTTCATTGTATTGACGAACATCACACAGATGATAATGACCTTCTGAAAAAATTTTAAAATATTTTCAATTAATAGCTATTCACCATACGAAATACACAATTATGTTTTTAACTGACAATAAAACCTTAGTTACCGTTGATCACCATTATCAACAGTTGTACAAAATTACAAAGTGATATTATTAATTGAATTGTTACATTTTGTCTCTTTGTTTTCAATAACTTTGAGTATCAGTTGTCTAAGAACACTAGATTCGCCACCATCTGATGTCGTATATCTGCAACTGATGACTACAAGTTTTGATTCGACAGGATTTTTTTAATTTAAGAATAACAATATCGTTTTTGTAATTAGTTGTTTACGTCTAATGAGAATAAAAAAAAGAATTTGCAGGTGAATACAATAATCAGTATCGAATATTCATTGGATCAAATACATACAAGAAAAAAATACATGTGTAAACAAAACAAATTATAATGTTTTGTTGCTATTCTACTTTTATATGTCATAATAATATTAATATTACGAAATCAATAATTTCATTTCATTTATTATCATTATTCACAATTTTCTCATGTCTCTTGAATATCTTTCGTTATCTCGAAAGGAATATATTTACTTTAACACAATATCTGTGACTAAAAAAAAACATGTTATTTGATATCAATCTCACTATTTCATTCATTGAAGTATTTTTCTATTAAATAAAATGTTTCATGATATTTGTTTGATTAATCAACAATTAAACAAAACAAAAACATTTTTCTACAAATTTTCACATTCTATTTTTTCTATAATTTTATGCATCTAATTCAAATCCTGATAATGATTTTAATAGTCAATAGAATTTTCTATCTAATGTATTCCATAACAAGATTTCATAGGTGAACTATGATAGCAAGGTTTCTAAAAACCGAACATGTTCTCATCTTAAAGAGCACAGAATTCTACACAAAATGCTGAGTCGCTTCATCTTCTACGGCTTTTCTTTAAAAATTTAAAAGTATCACAAAAAAAGTGTAAAATAACGAAATTTATCAAAAAACGACTTTTTTTTCGGTCTTTGTGATGCTTTTAAATTTTTACAGAAAGGCTGTAGAAAATGGGACGACTCAGCATTTTGTGTAGAATTCTGTGCTCTTTAAGATGGAGCCGTGTTCGACTTTTTTTAAACCTTGCCATCATCTATCTGAATTTCAGTTAGATGCTTAATATTACAGATCAAAAGCATTAAAAATATGTTGTTGTTAAACTTTTTCACTACTTTACGTTCAATATTATTTCATTAATTCACTTGTAAAAGCATTTCGTTATTTCTTTCTCATGTTTCTAAATAACAAAATCTTTATTTTAATTGATGGACTATAAATGTTGAAATACGATCTTTTGATAGAATGATGATTATCAACGACATCCGTCATTTATATCTGTACAGAATTTAATTAAATTAAAATAGTTTAATATCTATTCGAAGTCTCTCGATTTTGGTTTATTTTTATCTACAACTGAAAATTGATTCTTAGTGGCAGCTGTAGACAATTTGATTGGATAATTAGATGCATCAATTATTATGAATAGTACTAATCGATCGATATTCGACGTCAGTTATCATTTATCTATGTTTATTCTTTAAAAAAAATTGCTTCAACAACGTTGTATCATCTCGATCAACGAGTATCCATTGTTGGCAAAGGTTTAGGCACTATTGCATTTATTGGAAAAACAGAATTTGCTGATGGTAATTAAATTTCTTTTTTTGTTCTTTGAATTTCTATGCGAAATTTGTACAGGTAAATGGATTGGCATTATTCTTGATGAGCCAAAAGGAAAAAATAATGGAACTGTACAAAAGAAAGGTAATGATAATATTCTATGTGATTTTTACATATAAGTATTCTTTTAGATGGAACATTTGTACGATATTTTATATGTAATGATAATCATGGTCTATATGTACGACCTGGACAAATTGAATCTGTAATTAGTGATTTACAATCAAATCTAACTCGATCATCTTTAAATCATTCAATAAAATCTGAAGGTAGCAGAGGAAGTATTCCACCACCATCAACTTCGACAATTACAAAAACAAGTGCTGTACCAACAAAACAAAAAGGACTTCGTGCACCAACACCTGGTACAACCGCTAAACTTCCAGGTATAAAATCGTTACAAAAAAAAAAGATATTCTTTAAATATAAAAATAATCATAAAAAAAACAAAAAAAGGAAAATTCTATTGTTTTGTATCATTATATTAGGATCTGATGATGATATTGATCAGACAGATAGTAAAGGCATATGTAGTGTTATTTTTTGTTTGTCGGTAACCAAATAATGATACAAATGAAAATATTAGAATTTTTCATTTGTATCTTTTACTTAGAACTTAGTAATGTCATGTAATCAATGGTGATGGTTTTGTTTTTATTATCACATTCAGTGTTTAATCTTTTTCTTTTTTTAAGGTCTTACTCGAACAGCTCAATCATCTCGTGATATTCCAACAGAAGTAGCAACGGAACGAATATCACCACCTAAAGAAGAAATTAAACCACCAGTATCACAGCCCAAAACAACAACTTCTATGGTAAAAGAAAATGGAATAGTCCTTTCCTTCTACTTTCATTTCTAAAAACTATCGAGGCTCTTGACGAGTAATAGAGATTCGAATACGCGTACGCATGCAGTACTCTACTGTAACTTTTCAGAAATCATTTACAGCAAGGACAGCGGCGACTTTCACCTCTATATATTGAGAAAAGAATTACAGCATGTGTATAGTCTGTAAATGTCACATTTCGTATCCTTTGAAATATTGCTCCATCTTGAATATTCAGATCATTGTTTGATTTTTTTCTTGAAAAAAAATATTTTAGCGTCCACCAACTCCAATTGAATCAACTAATATACCAAGAAAATCGAGTAATCCAATATTAGAATCATCTGATTCTCAACAAGTTATTATAAGTCTAAGGAATAAAATTAACGATCAAGAAGAACAAATTCAAACATTAATAAAAAAACGTCGTGATGATCTTGAAAAGCTTAAAGAATTTGAACGTACAAAACTTCAACTTGATCAAGTAAAAAACCTTTAAACTAAACGACTTTTATTTATTTATTAATATTTATATTTAGTTACAAACATATAAACGTGAAGCACAAGAACGTATTAAAGAATTAAATGATAAATTACAACAACAAGAATATGAATTAAAAGAAACACGTGATAAATTTACTGCTTATCGTGATGAAATGGCTGATATTGAAGTATGAATTAAATCACTTACACTTGATCTTGAAATAGCTGAAGCAAAAGTATTTATCTTCTATCTCGCTTTTTTTTTAAATCGTAATTTTTTTTTCTAGCTTGAGACTCTAACATTAGAAAATACAACATTAAAAGAAAAATTTGAAGAAGTACAATTAGAATTAGATGTTATTAAAGGTGAAATACAATTAAATGGATCAAATCAAGTAGCAAATGATATTCAACAAAAAATTGATGATGAACGAACAATTAAAATGGAACAAGCATTAATTAAGTAAAAACCTTTTTCTCTTCCCATTTATTCGATCTATTTCATTGTTTAGATTACGGGATTTATCATTAACTAAACAAGCTGAAAATGATACATTAAAAAAACAATGTGAAACATTAGAACGTAAAGTTAAAATATTAACAAAAGAAAATGAAAATGCTAAAGTTGAAATTACAACAATGCAAGCAACAATTGCTGATTTAACAGAACAGGTTCTATAATAAAAATTAAAAATATTCTTTTTATAATATATACTTGTGCTAAAATATTAATCTGCAAAATATTCGATTAAATTTTTTATGAGTAATTCATAGACACTATATTTCGAAAAATTTGATGACGCTCTTGAAACATTCAAAAAATGTGTGTACGCTCTTGAGATGAAAATATGTATTTTTTTAGTGCTATAAAAAAATACGTTGGAGTTCTATGTCATACTCAGCATGTAATAGTAAAGTTGGAAACTATATGTAAAGCTTAAAGTAATGACAAATTTCTTAATATTGCCAGTAACATAAGAGGGAGCATACAATAATACAAAACCGGTGGTGCTCGTCATTTTCCAAACGAGGGAACCATCCGTCACTTGAGCTCATCTTGTGCTTAAAGAGATGTCTTGGCAAGACTAGCAGAAGCCTACAAGGGTTCGCCTTCCATGGCCCTTAGAACAACCTGAATGTTTAAGCTGAAAAGAATGTTTCTTTTTTTTTATTGAGATGTTGAGTTTTCAAGTAAACTCAGTTTTTGTATCAGACCCGTGACAAATGACTATTTGAAAGTTCAGTATCTCAACAAAAGAACTTTCCTTTCGGCTGAAACTTTCAGGATACACTACTGGTCATTCAACCTAATGCATGAGCAAACTTTCTGCTCATGGAGACAAATCCTTTTCGGCTTCTACTAGTCTCACCAACATGTTCATGTAGGCTGGATCCCACCGGTCCCGACGGGCGCTACTATAGGTTCAATATAAGCTCAAACAGCGGTATCGATTTGAATGGTTCCGTCGTAAGTGTTTACCGGAGACATACATCAACAAGATATAACGGTACGTTGAGTTTTTTTTTTTCTGAGAGTAGCGAATAAATAGCTAAAACCTTGATCCTTTACTTGTTCATGTACACGAAGGATGCCAGATATTGATGGAAAAAACCTCAGGTTTGAACTCACAGCTTCCTAGTAATGAAAATGGACTTGATGCAAAATAAAAAGTGTATCTTTTCTTGAAAAACTAAGATCATGTATTCGTTTAGGTTGATACATGTTTGGGTGCTCAACAAATGGTTGATATATTAACAAATAAAAATCTTTCACTTGAAGATCAAGTACGAGAATTACAAGAAATTGTTGATAATCTTGTAAGTTTCTCTTATTTACTTTTTTTTGTTATTATGACCTTTTTTTTTTTGTTTTAAATAAAAAGATAAGGAATCACTTTGTGAAATGGATAAAGGTAAACAAAAACTTAACTTTTTCTTTTCATATTTTCACCTATTTACTTCATAACAAAATAGAAATGGAAGAAAATGCTAAAGAAGTAAAACATGTTCTACGTGAAAATATCGATTTATTACACAATCAATTACGCGAGGTTTGTTAATTCTATTTTCTATTCATTCAAAATGTTTTTTTTTCTTGTAGAAAGATCGACAAATTGAACAATTACAACATGTTATCAGTGATCATGAACGAATAATATTAAAATTTCGTGAAACAGTTAAAAATATACAAGTATGTTCATTTTATTAATTAATAAATTTATTTAAAAAAACAAAAAATTTTTCTTCAAGTTTCAAAATGAACAATGTAAAAAACAAATTGAAAAATATGATAAACAACTAAAACTTGTTGGTTCAGTTCAATCAAGTGAATTTAAAGCTAAAATTGTTGAAACTAAAACATATGGTGAAATAATTGAAAATGAATTTAAAAAAACTTGATGTACAAAATCTTAACAAGACATGTTCATTTCTTAACATTATTTTTACCTGAACAATTTCTTAAACGTGATGCTGATCAAGATTGTATATTTGTTCTTTTACTTATACATCGTTTAATATCGAAATGTGATTTATTAATAAATGAAATACAAAAAAAATTTCCAAGAATTGATCAATTAAATTTTGATGATGTTGTTAAATCACATCGTGCAGAACAATGGAGTTTTGCATGTAAACTTTCACAATCATTATCAATTTTTCAAATGACTCTTCGAAAATTTGTCAAGTATGATTCTTTTCTTTTGTTTTTGAAAAAACACTTCATGACTCATCAAGGATTATACTATTAATATGTTCAAATTTTTACTCAACTAAAACAGTTTTATTATCAAAAATTTGCACTTAAAATTTCATACTAAATGATATAACTGGAGACTTGTGTGACCAATTAGCGGCACCATAATAGGGCTGTCAAGAGTAGAGGCCATCGAGTCGAAAAGTTTTCGAACCCGAGCCCGGATCCGATGTGCTCTAGTCAACAGGTCACTTTTTTTAATTCACTAAGTTCTGTAACCTTATTATGATGTATCATTCTATGTTTGAAATTATACCAAGGAAAATAATATTACATCATACATAGGCCAATAATTTTGACCTGACCTGATCTGGTAGCCTGATTGAATATTATATAGATGGATCAGGTCAGGATGATAGTTCTGATTTCTCTCAATAATCTTTGTTTTGTTTTACAATTTTGCTGATTTTAATTAAGATTAAATATAAAATCTGAACATTATAAAAAAATGTCGATTTTTCTATGTCAATTGAAAATAAGAATGAGATATCAGTGGCGAATTTAGAGGGAGTCGATTGTGACCATAAAACGTGTTTTCAAATCTATTAGAGGCCGTATCGGTTTATTGTTGGGCGTTCTCTATTGAGAAAATTGTTTCGGAAGGGAGAAGTGATCGTCCTCTCGTGATGTTAGTTCGTATAATCCAAAAGTTATAAATTAGGCGAATTCAGTGACTAACGATTTGCCAAATAGACTGCAGAAAAATATTCCGACAGATTATTTTTTGACTCAGATGATAGGCATCTAGTTGAAACTTAATTTTCAAACTGACCTTTCTTCTTTGAAAGGAGGAATATCTCTGCTTTTCGATTACCTAGCAGCAGACTCAATAGCCTGATATCTTTCATACAACTAATACTAGCTATAGCTCTGGACAGAAGGCCAGCCTGACACCGAGCTCATGAGCTTCCCACACACACACTAACTTGACGTAGGAGTAGGTTTAAGTTTAGGTCACAACATAGTCAGCATGTTGTCGGACGGGATAATTCGAGACAAACAGTCGTTAGTGTCTTGCCCAGAGTCATTTCATGGCTGGTGGTGCCTAAGTTTATCTCATTAATCTTCATAATAAGCCATATTTCTATGAATAGTTAGTGCTCAGCAGGAAGCATTTAGATCGAAACAAAGTTCTAAGGTTCTGCTCAATAAGATGGCGTTGTGCCTAGCTGAAGAGCACAGTGCTAAGTAGTAGGAATTTAGTTCACATTGTAGTTATAGCGAACTATGCCCAAAAATCCAGATGGAAGTTGAGTCTGGATCGGCAATTCACCGAAATCGCTCTACTTGGTCTTGAAATATTCATTTCATCCGTTATATCTAAGCTCGATAGGAAAGTATGACGAACTGATCAAGGCCATGGTTTTTTTTGATCATTTTTTTGTCCACAAATCAATTGCTGATTTTTTTTAATATATATATATTTATTTAAATTATAGAGCAATGGAAGTATGTGATCCAGATGTTCTTCGTCATATAGCTAGTACTTATCATGTTTTATTAACCCATGAAAAATCACTTGATTTTCTTATTGATCTTTTACAAAAAGATCAATTACATGATTCATTATCATTAAATGCATTAGATAAAACAATATCATTCTATAAAGTATTCATTAATTTTTTGATTTTTTTTTAATTGGAATTTGTTACCTTTTTCTTGTTTTAGCACATCTATAAAAGTTATTTAAGTCAAGAAAAATTTTCTATGTCGAATTATATGCGAGATTTAACACGTGTTGTATTATTAAGTAGTGATTCATTGCAAACAGATATTCAACGTATACAAGTTTTACAAAAAGTAAATATAAAAAACTGAATTCTATTGATATTAAAACAAAATTTTATATCAATTATATAGGAAAGTGAACAGGTAAAATGTATGAGAAATATTTTTTTTTATAAGTTAGGTGAAATGTATAAATATTGTATTGTTACATTGTTTGCTAAAGTTAAGTTGATTTTAGAATCACAGCAAATAGTTTTTAATGCTTCAATAGAAAAATTCTACTAATTTTAAGGCTATAGGTTTTTACGATTCAGACCTGAAGAAAAGAGATGAATGATACGGTTTGGATCAAATACGTTTTGTACTGTAAAGGATTTTGAATTTGTTTATTACTATCGCTCTGATTTTTTTGTAATCGAACACTTTCAAATCAATTATTTTCATAACTGAACAAGTCATAAAGTTGACTGTATTCAAATATTTTCATCAGAATTGATTTTTACTATCATATATATAAAAGAAAGAAAATAGAAAGGAATTATTATTGTTCTTGTTCGTGCACGTTAGTACATTCATCGCGAGATCACTCAAGGGCTTAAAAAATGTCATAAATTTCATGAATTTTATATCAAAAATACGAAAAAAAAAATGATATTTCGGATGATGATACGGACATAAAAATTTATAATATTTCGAATTCATTGAATAAAAGCAACATTTCTAATGAAACAAATGCAATGAATTGATGGAAATGTCCATTTTAATCGATAAATTAAAAAAAAGACATTAATTTTTATGTTCGTTTCATCATTTTAATGCAATTTTTCAATTCCATGGGCATGAAATAGACTCTAAAACAAAAAGAAAAAGAGAAATTTCAACGATAGATCTGATACGAACAAAAGAAAAATACTCCACAGCTTCCTCTGGAATTAAAGTTTATAAACAAAAAGAAAACGAGCAACTTTCCATATGATTCAAATCTGGCAAAAATCGTCCGTAGACCATTTGAAATAATGCTCGCTATATCGGCGACAGGTTGATACTTGCACGATTGGCTATCTGCTGATCACCATTCTACTGCTGTATACTTCCGTGGTAGTACGAACAAACGTGTAAGAGAGTTTTTCAATAATGTCACAACCAGTAAGCAATGTGCTTTTCCTACTTTGCAGAGTACGATCATGGCGCTTTGTTTTTTCATAATTCTAAGTACCTCGGGCACTTCGCTTGTGCTTGAAGTACTAAATATTGAAAAAACTGCATATAGTCACATTTGATAAATCAAGTAACAATGTCCGATATGAGTCAATTTTTTGTGATTCGATCCCAGCTTTGGGATAATTTTCGGTCAACTACACGGACTTTTTCCAGAGATATAACATCCTTTTTTTGTAAATCTGACTGATAGAGCTCATCAAGTCCTACCCGGACCCGGTGGGCTCTATTGACTGACCTCTCTCGAAATTCAAACGAATAAAATCTCGTCCGTTTGATGTGAAGTTTGACATCGGTTTGTTTATTGTGGGTCTACCCGAGATCAAAGATTTTTTCGACAACTAGGTTCGACCTGAGTCGGACTGTGTGTAATAGTACAGAACTATTACAAGTAACAATACGATGACTATTTATATTAATCATATTATGATTTATTTTCTTATTTCACGCTTAGAAACAAATAAAAAGAAAAAACTTTATTTCAATGATAATTTCTATCTTATAATTTAGCCTGATAATGATCAAAGTCCATTTGCTGTTCTTGTTAATCAGCTTATCGAAAGCAATGAACAAATGCGAGCTCAAGTTGGCAAAGTAATAAACACAAAACACCAGCAATATTTCTTCTTTGTATCAAACATGAATTGTTTCTGTTTTTTGCTTACAGATAAATCGTCTTGTACCACAAGACGATGATAAAAATCGTTCATTAACTCTCGATTCAAATAGTATATCTTCAATTGAATCAGCTATTCGTAATTTAGATCGTTTAACAAAAACATTTCATGAAATATGTTCTGGTTTAACAACACAAATTCTCTTACTTTCTGGTAAATCATTCCCTCTATAACAAATAAAATAGCTTATCTTTATTATTTAGATGCTAATGAACGAATAAACACACAAGATATAGAAAATATAGCATATCAAGCATGTGATAAAGTCTATAAAAAAGAAGATAGTGGTCCATATGAAAGTCTTTGGTAAATATTTCATATTAATTTTATTTTATTTTATTTTTGAAATAAAAAAAATAAATGAATTTTTTCTTTAGGGATTCTATGCATGAAATAAGAAAATAAATCATAATATGATTAATATAAATAGTCATCGTATTGTTACNCTCATAACTAGACCTGTCTATGGGGCAAAATCTCAACCCGAAATATTGTCATTCGATTTGTTGGTAAATACCATGCCATTGGCTAAAATTCCAGTAAAATCCCTATAACTCTGGACAGAAAGCCTAAGGGCCGTTATCCTTTTGGGGTTTTTCATACCTTACTGGGGTTTACCTTATGCACAGGGTCAGAACTCAAAAGTGATTGGACAGTTGGGGACCTTCCCTCGTAAGTAGGTAACATAATCTGTCAAAACATCCTTTTATTGAATGCAAGAGTGATGATTTTTTATAATGTTTCAGAATTTTTGAAAAATGCGTAAGATCTCTTCGGCGTTTATCCATTTCAATAGTCTTATTGGTAATGTTACAAAACATTTTTTTTTCCACAAGTGTTTGAATTCCAAGCGGGATTAAAATATGTGAAAGTACAAAAAAAAATTGACTATCAATACAAGGAATATTTCAAAACGAAATCGGATTATATTTGACGTTTAGTTCTAATAAATATATCCACTTGAAAAAGAAACAAATATTAAATTTGACAAAAGTTTTTTGTAATATTCTATTCGGCTGAAGAACTAACCTTATATCCTAATTTTTTTTACAGATGCTCATTAGTTTTAATTTAAAACGATAGAATAAAACAATTTTCGAAGTTATATGATGGGTAGAGTCTGTCGAAACCAAAATTTTTGGACGCGAACTCGGCGAGTTCTATTAATGGATTTCAATGAATAGCTAAATGTAGAAAATCCTTCTCGTGTTTCCAAGATCTAAGTAGATACCTAAGATATACGATACATTTCATTAGACTCTATGTCAAATATACTTGTAGAATTCTCTATAAGTGTTGGATAACAGATTATATTCAATTTTTCAGTTGATTCATTTTTATAAAACTTTATCTGATTTTCAAATAAGAAGATTAATCATGTCTAAATAAATATTCTTATGAAAAAAAATAAACGTGACTTTGTCATAAATGTCATTTAGGGATTAGTTAGTTTGGAAACGAGTAATCCACCGAAGGAAGTGTCGTTTTTTTTTTGAAAGCATGACTTGTTGTTTAATCAAAAGAATTTATATTAAAAATAAATCATATTATATATTATTCATAAAAGCATCCGAGCCTTGTCAGTCCTTGAAATTTATTTTACAAATTAAATATTTCGTTAGAGAAAAAATAATCCGTGCAATTCATTAAATTACATACTACAGGATGTGACCAGATCATTACGTCTTCTTCGATAACTTGAAGTATAAATGATATCACAAAATATCTTATATCAAATTAATACTCATTAAAAAATGAATTTATGAGTGTAATTAGAGTAATTATTGAAATGTCTTGAATTACATGTCGAAATGAACTCGTACTTTACGATTTTCATTGTTCATGTACATATTTTCACAAAAAATCATAGCAGATATCGTAATCTCTATCAAAAACTGAATCTAAAGGCATGACATTTGTATATTTTTGACACAAAAAAAAAAATTTTTTTTGAACTGCAATATTTCAATGCCAAAATCAGTGGACGTAGTTTTTGATAGAGATTACGAATCTGCTCTTATTTTTTGTGAAAATATGTACATGAAGAATGAAAATCATAAAGTACGAGTCATATAAAATTTGAGTTGTTTTGGGGTAACGACTTTAGTTATAACTAAAGTCGTTACCCCCAAAACAACTCAAATTCCTCAACTTTTTAGATATAGTTATCCTCTGTCTTATCAACTTCATTGCTCATGGAAATATGGCTTGACGTCGAGAATTTAAGTCAACTCAATGTAATGTTGTGTAACTTTTCAATCGAGAAATGTCGTTACCGACTGTAATGAGATTATGTCATCACTCGTATGAGTGCATTTTGACATGTAATTCAAGACATTTCAATAATTTGATAGGCAATAATCGCTCTAATTACACTCATAAATCTAGTTTCTTTTGAGCATTAATTTTGGTATAAAATACTTTGTGATATCATATATATTTTAAGTTGTAGAGGGAGTGTAATGGTTTTGTTACACTCTGTACATATATTTTGAACTTGTTTTTTTTTTTTCCATCGTATTAAATTCAAACTACTACAAGCTTGTAGAGAAATAAATTCTCTATCTATTAGTGAAAAAATGTAAAACCATCTATTATTTTTCTGCTTGAATATTTTCAAAAGAAATTTTTGTATTCAATAATTGCTATAGAATGAGAATTAAAGTAATAGACAGAAGTTTTCTGGTTCTCGTATCTTGGCTACTCTATACATACTACACTAACAACTTTATTGGAAGGCACAAAGTTACCACGCTTGCTTAAATACGATGAGAATTATGATGAAAGATGTCTATCTTCGCTTCTAGTCTGAAAAAAATTATCTACTAATTCTTCTCGTTTTCTATTATAAAGTACATGACTAATCCTTGATATTTTAGTTTGGAACTAATGAGTTTTCTCTACCAGCATGATAATTATTCGGATGTTATTTTTATTTAGTGGAAGATTTTTTTTTTTCATAAAACTGATAGATAATAATGCTCAACTGTAGATAAAACTCATGTATAAGATTCAACTCGATTCACTATGATGAGCACTAATGAGTAATAGAAAAGTCTAGAATGATTTAGTCCTTTCGGGCCTTCGTTTTCGAGATATCGAAATTATATTGAGTTTTACAACAAAAAGCTGTGATGATGTGAAAAATTGAATTTCGATTTCAAACTTTGCATGAACAAAGTTTTTAATAGGATTGGTTTATAGATCTAGTATATCCTATCCTAAGATATTCAATATTTGAAATTCTTTCATGTGTATAATCAAATTTTGTTTATACATATTTACATCTTCAGAAAGAAAATCCTAATGGTACCTTCAACTAATCTAATTAAGAACTTTGCTCGTGTAAAGTTTGAAGTCAAAAGTCGATTTTTCATATGATTACAACTTTCTGTTGAAAAATCTAGTAAAATTTCGATCTCTCTAAAACCAAGATCTGGCAGACTAAATCATTCTTGGCTTTTCTATGACTCTCTAGTATTTATCAAATGAATATTATTTCGATTGCGAAAAGTAATTTGACATCTGAAGAGGCTTCTCATGAATTATTGTCTCTAAAAGTCAGCAGATAACTTTTTCCAACCCGAATAATCATAGACAAATGACTACAATTCTAGAAAAGGTTAAATGAACTTCAATGACATTAATACAATGGATAGCTGAAACTCACCATTATATAATAAAGGACGGGCTGATCCACCGAGTTCATTTTTTTTTCCAGAGTTATTAAGTAAAAAGGATAAATAAGTGCAATCCCCATTACCATCCATCCTAATTCTCATTCTGTTTAAACAACCGATGTACATTCGTATTCCACACAAGAACGTTTACAATTGATCAATCAATCACTTTCCAGCGGAAAGCTAGTGGATTGTAGGCTATCGATTATGCTGGTTTGATAAAAAAAAATCGACTTTTGAGATTAGCAAACTTTTCATAAAAAAACAAAATCTTGACTTGTCCACATGAAAATAGTATATCAAATCACTTAAAAACAATAACTTGTTTTGTTTCAAATCGTTCTTTTTTGTACTGAAAATACCATCATTTATGATATACATATCAACATTTCGATATGCTTTATAATCTAAGTAGATTCAAAATGATTTTGACAAAATTTTTTTTTAACCTAGGAAACTAACATATAAACATCCTAGTAGATTTCTTCTGATCATATTCAGAATCAACATAATCGAATAGTTGAGTATGTATACAGAAATTTTTTGACTTATAGAATCGATGATAATTGAGATATGGTTAATGTGGAAGAATTTTGTCCACTATTGAGTATTTTATTAAGAATTTTTCTCGTTCTATAAAACGGATAAGCCACTTTATGCTTTCCGATCAATTTACATGTATATATATATAGTCTATTGCGTTGTTTAACCTTTTAATCCATGAATGTCCTCACAGAACATTTTATTCAGCTTACATAGTACTAAATGCAAAATAAAATAATTATTATGAAAATCTACGTCTTAACTTTAAATCAACCATATAACTAAAATGTTCTAAATTAATATAAATATTAAATGCACGCATCGTTCTTTTCTTTTCAAACAAAATTTATGCATGTCTGCTATTGATTATTCATCAGGTAGGCGTTTCATATTCTATATATAGCAATGCGATCCATCAAACTAGTCAATGATTATAAGTTCGTGACCTATCAAATCAATACAGAATATTGAGTAATACAGCGTGTTTTCATTCATGCTAAATATGACATGTAGATAAATATATGCATGTAGGTTTGCCGATTTCACCTACATAGAATTATATCATCATCCATTTTTTTTTTTTTGTTTTGTTTAACTGACTTGATTCTAATACAACATAGAAACAAAAAAAGAAAAGAAAAAGATGATAGACGAACAACAAAGAAATACATACGCACACACACATAAAAGAAAGTTTATTTTGTTGAACAGTTTAATATGAAATAAAGTCAAAAGAGGGAAACGAGTTTTGTTTTTGTTTTTTATTTTTTTAACGACGTCTTGTTGAATTATTAATATGATTACGTTGATTATTGTTATTATTATTCGAACGAATTTGTGCTCGATTTGTCAATGATGATGAATCTTTAATTGTTGTTGTTGAAGATGAATATTGTTTAGCATGATGCATTCGTTCAAAACGTGGTGCAACAAATTTTAATTTCTGACCATTATTATTATTATTATTATTTAACACATCATTTATTGTTAATGATGAAGAATTATTTTTTGTTTTAAGAATTGATGTTGATAACGAACTTATTTTATTATTATTATTATTATTTATTGATGATGCTATGGGTTTTACAGCAGCTGCATAAGATATACGTTTTGGTATAAGTGTTGATGACGTATTATTTGTAATATCATCTTTACTATTATGATGATCATATTGTAAAGATGATTGTTGTGAACAATCACTACGACTAGCATCACTAGCTGATTGATAACCATCATCTGTATCAGGTGTTGATGAACGATTTTGTTCTATATTTTGACAATTAAGAGTATTTTCGGACGATAAGGATAAATTTGACGAGACTTGATTAACTTGTTTATCGATATTCATCGATAATAATGCCTCGTCATGATAATTATTATTATTAGTATTATTAAGAGAAGTAATCTCTTGATCATTATCATTCTCATCGTCCATTGTATGATTTTGTTTCATAGATGGATAAAGTAAAACGAGTAACCATGTTGGTAATCTCGCCAATAGATCAAGATCATCATCTTCTTCTTGTTGGTGTTGAAAGAAAGACGATGAAGGTATATATAAATGAGAATAAATATCGGGTGAATAAAGTAACCAATCCCAACAACCTGACGTTGAAGGTGATGATGATGATGATGATGATGATGTATTTGTAGTAATAGAATTTTGTTGTGATGAATTAATTATAATCGGTGTTCTTGTTGATGCACTAATGACTGGATTCCAATGTGTATTTGATGTTTGATAAGGTAATGATGATGACAACATTTCATCACTATATGAATCGATAGAATTAGTATTTTGATAGTCCGTACCAGTAACTAGAACAAAGACATAATGATAATCACGACATGCAACAACAATGAACACGTCAGCGTACACATAAAAGAGAAAGAAACGATCAAAGAATGGAAAGACAAAAACCATACTTCTTCACGCACTCACCAACTCGAGAAGAAACAAAAAAAAAAAAATGACTCGAGAGAAAAAACTCAGGAATAAAAAAAAAGATAAAGAAGAAAACTGACAAGACACATCTAAGAAAATTCATCAAGTGGTTCATCAATAATACATTACTGATGATAGGAATACTAAAAAAAAAAACAACTTATCATTGTTCAATAAAATATGAACTCAACAAACTATGTAAACAGACCGCCAGCTGATTACCAACTGCATACTGTCATATGAACAGATGATGTCTATATAATTAGCAGTTTTTTCTCTCTGTACATTCTTAACATGGCAAAATAATTATTTTACTCTATGACAAATATATACGAACGAAGATAATTGACAATCCCTGCTTTTTTTATTCTTCGCATCATATAGTTATGTGCGTGTATGTGTGTCGACGAGCAAACAAACGGAGTATTCATTCTAATTATGAAGCGAGAAAGGGACGCTGGGGAGGAACGTTTTCCATTCTGCTTCTTCTTTTTTTTTGTTGTTTCTGACACTTCAACAGCTTCTCTTCATTCTCGGCTTGACTGCTTTTCAATTCAGAGAAACAAAAGAACGTCGAACAGGAATACTGGTCTTCTGAACAAACGAGAACTACTATCGTTAACTATTTACATACACTCAACAGAGCAACTTTATAAATTAATAAAAAAAAAAAGTGCATTTCTATTTTTTTGTTTCTAAAATGACTTGCTTCTATCGGCCCTTTTTTCTCTATGCAAATCGAACGAAAACATGACATATCATGGCCATCTAATCGACGAATATCTTCCCTATAGACAACATAAATTTATTGCTTCGACTTTTTTTTTTTATAATATATTTATCAGATACGTGTCATACAAGGGTAGCGGTAATAATGATTTTCAAAATGAGTCTAGTGACAAGAGAAAGAGAAAAAAAAATGTTCCTTGTGTGCTATCAGCATAAATCATCAGCAATATAGCGTAAAATTTTTCTTCGTTAGTATATTTTTGACAGATCTTATTGCTATTGGCATTTTGATTTCCTTAGTACTCATATACACATTGTATCTCCAATATAGAATGACGTTGTTTCTTCTGTATTCTTCGGATTTTTTCTTTCTTCATAGAAATCGTCCTAATTTGATTTAGATTCTATCGTCGTTTGGTTGTGTTCAAAGAACACAATAGTGTTAGATAGGAACCGCATACATGAGTATCTACAAGTAACTACCCATATGATTGATCGCGAACGAGATCAGCTTGCTAAGAAAAATGAGTGGTTGAATTGAATAACTTTATACTATAGAAGAACGACTACTGTCGTCATTGCCGCCATTCTTCACATCCAATATTATTATCATTCATTACGCAAGACCAAGGAGAACGGCTGTAGTAGTTACAGATGGGAATGCAACAATTAGTTTTCTTACATATAGGTTCTGAATACTATTGATCAAAACATATTATGCAGCCACCTATATATACACACGCACACACACATATATATATATATATGTAAATGCCTTGATTCTCTCTTTCTCATTCTATTTGTCTACTTATAAAGTAATGAAACCTTAAAAAATGTAATAAATTACTACACTCATATAAATAATTAGCCTTACTCTCAAGTGTAAATGAAATTTGTTCTATAAAAATTTCTTTTTACCGTTAACTTCATCAGTGCGTATTGTGTTAAAATGAACAAATGATTCATTTTTATCGTTTATTGATACTATATGAGTATTTGTTCGATTTGTAATCGATGATTCATCAGTATTACAATAATATGAAGTCCTCAAATAAGTTCGTTGTTGTTGTTGTTGTTGTTGTTGTTGTTGCTGCTGCTGTGTTGAACTATTATTCATGTATACATGCCAGCTCGGTTGCTGACAGTGTTGTTGAGGCGGATACCACATCTATATATATATATATATATATGTGTCTTTGTCTATTTTTCTTCGAAAATTTTAAATCAGTCGTATAGAAACGATACACTGGACAGCATTGACGGCTTGTCTAGAAGAGTAGAAAAATGAATAGAGTGAAAAAGAGGTATACATAGCGAACATGTACATGACGATGGTAATCAACGGCTTCGCTCGTTTTTTTCTTCTTCTTCAATTGCACAGGTAAAGAGAAAAGAAAGAATGATGTTCGTCAATGGTGAACTTGCCCGACCGTCGTCCACCGCCGCCACTACTCTATTGCACTGTTGATGGAACACAACCGACGGAAAAGAAGAAGAAATGGAAATGACATTTTCTCTTTCCTAGCATCGTCCGCCTTTTTTTTCCTTCCTTTTCGTCATTCTGCTTGATGGATCTTCTAGTTGATATAAGGGTTGTGCTATGCTTAGGAGTTGCTATAACGCGAGCGGAAGAGAGAGAGAGAGAAGGAGAATACTCGCTACTCATGCCATCCGTCGGACGCGTATACACAGCACGACGTGAGGACAAGAGAACAAGAAAGTTGGTGCAGTCGTTATTGCCACATAATTTCAACCCATAAAAGAAACGACAACTAGACGATAGAATTTCACTCAAGAGTATTGAATGACGCACATATATATACTTGCACATGGACGAGTAGAAAATTATATAGAGGTGCAAAGGTTGTAAACAATCAAATGATCATGATGGAATCATATATATATATATATATATGAATAATAACAAGTGTAGAATAGTTTATAGACATGACACATTGAACTAAGCTTCTATCATAAAGTTTCTCATATAAATGAAGCACGTCGATGAATGATAGTAATGTCGGAAGAGAACAAAGAATATATGTATATGTCTGTACAGATATTATTTATCGTAGTCAACTTATTCTACAATCTGATCATGAATAATCATCTTGTTCAAATATACCAAATGCTAACCTTATGATCTACTTTTTGTTTCTGAATATATACGAACATAAGCACGTTCAACATCATCCATCTGTCTGAATGTTATGTCTAATACTAATCGGTAGTAGATAAATCATACATACGTGCACTATTTGTGCATTCAGATAAACTTCCTTTTCTTTTCTTATCTGAGTTTTTTTTCTTTCTATGACCTGATTTGAAAATCTATACGTGCTTATCGTGATGAATATTAATAAAAAAAAGTCAGTTTTATGAATATGGCTAAATGACTACCATTTACTCAAAAGACTCTACTTCTCTATTCTTAAATGCATAACCTCAAAGAATGGAGGTCGATTGATTCTATCAAAATATTGACACACGCATTCACTATATGCACAATCTGATTGAAAGAAATGCGCAAAAGAAAACGAAAAAGAAAAAAAGCATGCTTATGTGCGTGTGTATCAGCTGAATGGTGCTGTAAACGACATTTCGATGACGGAATGATTATTTGAGTAAGTGTGCATATATGTAAAAAGAAAAAAAAAACTGTAAGCATACAAGCATATTTGATCCATGTTGTTTTTATGTATACAAGTGTATGTATGTGTATACATAATGTCTTTTTTCTTTTTTTTATGTACATATTCTTATTTTATTATTATGTTTATTTACTAGATTATTGTCTAATAGATTTAGATAGAATGGAAATACAACGATGGTGACAGATGTTTTTTTTTTTATCGATTGAGAATAAAAAAACGTTCGACAACAGTGCAAATTTTTCTTTCGAGGCCAAAAAGAAATATACATAAAAAATAAAGAAAAAAAGAAAACCAGATGAATACTATTGAAATACAATTTCAATTGGGACGTGAATATCGATTAGCAAGATTAGAATCAGAAAATTTATTAACTTTTGATTCATTAATTCGTTTAACTGAACATACATTTCCATCATGTAAACATCCGTTTACATCATTTACTTATGTAGATGATGATAATGATGAAGTAATTGTATCAAGTGAACTTGAAATGGGTCCATTAAGAGATCTTTATTTTCGTATGTGTTATGAAGAAAAATTTTCTAAACCAATACTTAAACTTAAAGCTGTTGTTAATCGTAATCATGCTAATTTAACAATAGATACAATATCATCATATTCCGATGAACAATATTATACAAAAAAGAAATTTTCAAATCTTGAAGCAAATGCTGAACATATACTTTCATTGGGTAATATGTTATCACTTGATATGCTTGAAACAATTGGTACAGGTAATAGTGGTATTGTACGACGATGTCGTAATCGACAAACACAACAAATTCTTGCTGTTAAAATAATTTCACTTGATTTTCATAAGAATGAAAAAAAACAAGAAATTGTTACTGAACTTAATGCATTAAATACTTTACATTCAGATTATATTGTACAATTACATGGTGCTTATTTACATGAAAATTCTGTACATATTTGTACTGAATTTATGGATAGAGGTTCACTTGAACAATATATTGGTATTATTATACCTGAAAATGTTCTTATTCATATAACATTATCAATGATTCAAGGTCTTATTTATATGTGGAGTAGAAAAATAATGCATCGAGATGTTAAACCATCGAATGTTTTAGTTAATAGTTTAGGTTCAATTAAATTATGTGATTTTGGTGTTAGTAGAGTTTTAGAAACAATTAGTCAAAAACTTGCAACATTTATTGGTACACATAAATATATGGCACCAGAACGAGTTATTTCAGATGAATATAGTATATCATCTGAAATTTGGAGTCTTGGAATGACTATTCTTGAAATAGGTCTTGGTAGATATCCATTTCAAGCAGAAAGTTCTGATCCACCGATAGCTGTACGACCTATTGAATTAGTTCAATGTATTGTTTATGAAACACCACCTATGTTACCCACAAGTCGTGGTTATTCATCAGAATTTGCTTCATTAATTCAACAATGTTTATCAAAAAATCCTGCTGATCGACCATTACCAACAAGCTTCTTTGAATACCCTCTTCTGATGAAATATAATAATAGTGATAAAAATCAAAGTCGAGCAATAATTGCTGACTTTTTCAATCGAACGGCTGTTACCGCTACTGCAACAACATAAATCATTAACTATTCAATGAGTTGATTATCACAAGACATAAGATAAAAAAATATTTTCTTTTCTCTTTTTTTTTTCTTTTTGTGACAAAAAATGAATAACGAAGAAGAATCACTGTTGAATCACATGTTACCTCCAACCGTCGTTAGGCAAAAAAAAAAAAAAAAAAAGCATAAACTTAATGAATAACAATGTTGTGAAGCAACAAAACGACAAACAATATCAAATGTTCAAACTCAAATATGACCTATACTCAATTACATCTTATCTTACCTGTTGAAAATAAAAAATGTAAATTCTTCGTTCAACTTTATTCTTTTTTCTTTATCAATTATTCAATATTGAAAACAAATGAAATTTCTTATGTATAAAATTAATTTTATTTGCATATATAAGTGTGTTTTACATTCTTGAAATAAAAACAAATATCATGAAGAAAAAGAAAAGAAAAGAAAAAGAATTTAAACTCTTTTTATTTTGTTTTTAGATTTCTATTTATCATGTATAATAAGCACATTTTATTTGGATAGAAAAAAAAAATTTATATAGCACAAAAACAAAATACTTATTGAGTCAAATGCCATGAACCAAAAAGAAGATGATTAGAACGTTTTTTAAATAGACGCCAATAAAATTTAAATAAATTCGAATTAAAAAATCCAATTAATAAAAGAAGAATAAAATAGAAAAGTAAACAAAGATGATAACGATGTGTAGAAAAAAATGTTCGTAAACCAGATCGTGTTACTTGATTGACTCTAAAAAACCAAAACAAAAAAAAAATAATAATTTCAAATAAATAAATAATTTACTGTATTAATTCATTTGATTCCGAATAGATAAGAATATATTTAACTCGTACAAGTTCATTTGATGTAACAACAACATATTTATCAGGTACAGCACCAGCTTGACTATCACTAACAATTCTTCGTTCTTGATTATTTGATGTTGTTTCATCTAAATGAAAAATATTTATTATTTTATTTTAATAAATAAAAAAAAAAGCAAATTTAATATTTACTTTCAATTGCACGTTTAACATGATCAGGTTGATCAATTATTTCACATAATAATAAACAACTAAGTCTTTTACCTAATAAACTATTTAGCCAAACAGTTGCAAATGGTGAATAATGAAGTGATACAGATGGTTCTAATGAAAAATATGTTCCTGAACCAAATAATGATAATTTATTCATATGTCCAAGAAAACCAATATGTAATATTGAATGAAGATGATCTAAACGTGTACCATGATATGCATAAAATATTTTATATTGTTCATTTTGTGTTAAATCATTAAAACGCTCATTACGAATTTGATTATAATTTATTTCAAAAGCAAAATTTGGTGTTGGAACAGATAATTGATGTTTTACAAGTGAAAGTGCCTAAGAATATTTACATATATTTGTTTTTTTTTTGTAAAATATTAAAAAATTAATTTCTTATTTATTTTAAACTTACAGATTCAACAGGTACCATATTTAATTTAAATGTATCACGAGTTAAAAGCCAATTCAATAATGAAACTTGTATGTCACTTAATTGATCCAATACGGATAGGAATGCAGTTACAGGTGGTAAACGAAAGACATCACGCTAGAAAGAAATTTTATCTAGTCTTTTTTTTTTTTGGATTATAAAAATGTCTCCGAAACTTTGATACTCTAACAAAAGAACATTTTCAAATCACTTTTAAGTCTAAACTACTATGTGCATCATGTAGATTTTTATGAGCTAAGAATAATTTTTCAAGTCGTTTATATTACAATGATGAATTTTAACGTTCTATTTTCATTAAAGCTTTCCTCTATGCACAGTTTCAAATCGAAACTTAGGTTTCTTGAGGAGACCACGACATTCTACGAAAAAAATACAGTATCTCAACAGAAAATAAGCTATCGATCTAGACTCTTTTCAAGGTATTCATAGCTCAGTAGAACCTGTATGATGCACGTAGTTCAGGTCTAAAATCAATTTGACACATCGACATGTTCTCTTGTGAGTTTGATAAATAACCTTGAACGATTTATCGTGTATTTGATTGTTAATAAAGAAAACAGCGTTATGTGTAATCACAAATTTAGCTCAGTATTTTTTTGTTATCATATGTTCATGGTAGCTTTCTTCTATGTTAACTCAGCATAGCGACGGGAGAGATTTTCGAAAGACCATTGTGGCAATAGCAGATTTACAGCTATGATCGAATGTCTATTGTGTTTTAGCAAAATAATGAGCAATAAAGTTATTTGAAAAGTATTCATTGATTAAAATACAAAATTAAATAGAAAATGTGTTAATTATTGAGCAATTCACTTGATTTGATAAGTTATTATTATAAAAATAATATGAGAGAAAATAAAAGACGCAATTTTGTCAATGTGTTGGCAGATGTTCGAAACAGACACACCGTATCTTTCTTTAAAGGTTAGCTTGTTATACTTAAAAAAGTAAGACATTTTTTTTTAATGAAAGAATATTATTCTGAAGCTAAAAGACTTCATGCCATAGCAGATGTTGACTGAAAGCTTCACTCTTGATATGAAATTACTTTTTATTATTTATTGAAACTTAAGAAAAAATTCAATATTATATAGTGTCTAGTAGAAATATATATCCAACGTTTGTTACTGATTTCCATCTTTTCTATGATATACTCAGGTTTTTGAATCATTAAATTATGTATATTTTATATGATATTAAAATAAATTTTGAATAAATATTAATTCAAGTTAACTAAAGAAATGATTTATAGTTTTCCGAATGTAATCCACCGTTTGAGCTCATATTGAGTCATAGAGAAGATCTCGATAAGAATAGAAAAAGTTTAAAAGTGTTCATCTTCATATACTTTTGGCTCTGATTTCTGACTATTTCACTGAATATTTACTAGAAAATTAACTAACATAATTTCGATCTGATATTTTGTCTATAGATAGACTTAATGGTTTTTAAAATATTCTGAAAGTTTCAACAAAAAAACAGAATGTTCCTTTATTGAGATATTGAATTTCTAAAATATTATTTGCCACAAACATATCATAAAAAATCGAGTTCACGTGAATATTCAATACTTACAAAAGAAATATTGTTTTTAACTAACACTTAAAATATTCTAAAGGTCATTAGATCTATCTGCAACCAAAATTTCAGGTCAAAATTCAAAAATATACGATCCTAATAGCCAAACTTCACTAAAAACATTCGTTTTTTTCAAAAACAAGTTTTATGCATGAGTTCTTTTTACGGTAAGGACAGTTCAGTAAGGTCTACAAGATCTACTAAACCTCGATTGATTTATAAATTAGATCTTTACCAAATACTTTTCAGTTACCGTTGGACTTGGGCGCCGGCGTTGCGATTGCCCAGTAGCGCAACGGCTTCACGCTTGTGGAATAGGGAAAGCGCGAAGTATCCATCGGATGGGAGTGACCTGTCTGTGCAGTCGAAAAGACTTTATCAGATGGCCACTTCTGCCTTGTTTCTTAGGCAAGATTCACATCTCTTAATTTATTATTAATCGATGAAAGCTCACCAAAAATGATGAAAACGAATTGTTAATCGTCAATTCTATATAACTGACTCACCAATTGATCATCACTAAGTCCAATAAGAAATGGTGGACATGGTTTAAATACAGTTTCACGTTTATAAGATTCATATGCTGTTCGTAATAATGTTAATTGTAAATCAAATGCATGTAATTCATTTGTACTTAATGCATTTAAATGTCCAGAAAGTAATTGTTTTTCTTCCTCAATATTTTTTATATTGGACATTTGTTTTCTTTATTTTATCTGAAACATATGATTGATGATAAATAGCAGAAGAACAAAAAAATGAATCTTTGGTTTTGTTTTTGTCTGTTTCTTAAAGACAAACGAACGTTAAAGTGTATTGTCTGTAAATATAGTAAAAAAAAAAGAGAAACATGGATTGCTATACAAAAAAAAAAAGAAACGAAATGAAATAAACGAAAGAAATAGAACAGGGGTAAGGAAGAGAGTGTATGTGCTGATTTTCTTGAGCAGACGAGACACGTGTCTTTTGTTAAATGGTTATTCGTTACTCTCGAGCACGGTAATAACAACAAATGGGGGAAAAAAAAAGTAAATGACACATATACAATATCGAATGATAAATAATGTGGGTCAGAGACACACAAAAAAAAAAAAAGGGATATTGTGTTTCTCTCTTTTGATCAACAAACAAACACAAACACACACACAACAGCAGCAAAGAGAGAAAGAGAAAGTAAGAAGAAGAAAAAAACGAAAGGAAAAGCATAAAGAACGAATAAATGTTTAATGAGACGAGCGAAAAGAAAAAAAGAAAAACCAAATGTTAAAGATTTTCTGTTTATATATGTTTTGGTTTAACATTATCATCATTCGGACCAGTTGATTTTGAATAATTTGAATATTGTGTTGGATGATGTTGATATAACGGACGATTATTATTCGATTGTGGAGGTATTAATGGTTGTCGATGTTGAAATAATGATTGTGTATTATTAAGATTATTTCCATTATTTGAAAAATTTTTACTTAAACCACTCATAAGACTTGGTACTTGTTGTGTTTGTTGACGATTATTTGTTGTATTCATAGCACCAATTGGCATTGGTTGTCGAGCATATTGATTTGGTGGTGGTGGATAAAATTGTGCTTGATTTGATGATGATGTTTGTTGTTGATTTGTATGAAATGATTTTAAATTTTGAGATAATAATGATGGTGGTGGACCTTGTTGTTGTTGATTTGATGATGTTGAAGGATAATTTGTTGGACGTGATAATGATTGTGGTGGTGGTGGTGGTTGAGACATTAATGGATGATCATTACGATCTATTGAACCAGCACGAGCAAACATTTGTGCATGAGCATGATGAAAACCTTCATTTTGTCCATATAACTATAGAGAACAAACAAACAAAAAATATAATATATAGATTTTTATAATCTTTATTGAATGTCGAAATAATCATTCGTAAAAATTATTTTTTTTTGTTTTTTTGTTATAAAACGAATTAAGATTTTTATTTACATTATGAGGTGATGGATGTCCAACAGGTGGAGCATTTGAATTTGGTGGTTGAAAAAATGGTGCATAAAATCCTCCATGTGCTAATGGATCTTGAGTACCATATGGTGGTGCTGGAGGTGTTTGTAATTGTTGTTGTGGTGGAGTTCGATAGTATGGAGCACCTTGTGGTCGACCAGACATCATTTGATTATCTAAAACAAAACAAAAATAATAATTATATCCAATGTTTTGCTCAAAAAAAATATATATAACACATACTCATATATGCTTGTGACGGATGTGGTGGTGGTTGAGGTTGACTAATCATATGACCACCATGATCAACTAAAAATGGCGACGGATAACTGGGCATTGGTGGAGGTGGTATTGCGTTATTTTGTGGTGGAGCTAAAAATAAAAATAAAAAAATATAGATAACTGAAAATATTTAAACTAGAGAGAGAGAAGTCCTCAATCGATTAATCGCTCCTGAATCAAGACTATGCGCATTATATAGATTCAAATGAGCTATGAATTTATTTAAAAACAAGTTCGAATCATTAACTTATTGCTACACGAAGATATTGGAGTTTCATTATAGTTGCTACCTAAATGCTGTGATATGACTCAGGAATACTAAGAAAATCATTATTTGAATTTCGACTTGAAACTTTGCACAGAGATCAGTCTTAATAAGAAAGAAAAGCTTATTATGAAAATTTAAGATATTTTGATTTTCTTCTATTCTGAAATAAAAATATCGAATCTATATAGATGTATAAGCCGATGCATCTATCGTAGGCCATTACAAGTCTCAAGTTTCGGTCGCTCACGAGGGAACATTCCCAGGTGTTGAAGCGATTTTTAGTCGAGACTTTGCGCATCTTGTAGGCCTTGATGAATTATGTCTACCGTAAAAAAAGTTCGTGCCCCTAGCTTGTTCCTAGTGAGATATCGAGGTTTTAGTGAATTTTTCCTATAA